GAGCCTCCAGACCTCCAAAAACCTGGTGAGTATTCCTCTAAAATTCTGCGGGGTTCATAACTGAACACATCATGGCTCTTTTGAAATCTGAAATCTGCCCTCTACGTACAGTATGTATTTCATGTCTAAATGTGTATTATTAATGTTGTGTGTCATTACTTTCGTATGACACATTTGTCACTTGTCTGTTCTGTGTCTACTGCTATGTTTACATCTGTGTACATACTCTGTAGAGTAAACACACAATAAATTATGCTTCAACTACACATGCATGCAGAATATCAAACTTCAATCATCAATTCCTCAGATTCCTGGCTGTTTGTGAACAGACCAGACCTCGCTATTCCCTTATTTTGACCTGTTCCTAACTGTTTTTGTTGTGTACTGGATCTTCTCCAACAGATACCAAGCAAACATGGGACCAAAGTAAACAAAGGACAGACTTCCTTTTACCCCTCAACCTTTCCCTTTCAAAATAAACTGTGGGATGAGTGCTGAGTCAGCTACACGGCGAAGCGGAGCCATCCATGCTCTCCCAGAGACGGCCAGGTCCACTGCTTATAGGAGTTTTACTTACATAAAAATGTTCTGAGGGCAGAAGGAACAATGATTGGTTCAGAGAGATAACCAATTAGATTTTAGAGGAGATGGGCCCAAGCAACTAGAGGAGTCGGGACCAACCAATCCGATGTCTTGGTCCCTCCTCTTCTAACTGCTTGGACCCACCTCCGCTACAATGTAATTGGTTATCTCTCTGAACCAATCATTGTAAGCAAAACTCCCACAAGCAGCTCCTCTGCGGTGAAGATCCATCCTTGGCTCGAGTCCGTAAAGCAGTCACTCCTGCTGGCTCGGATCCCTCAGGCTACCCCTGACAGATGACCTACAGGTGTACCACAAGACCTGGTTGTTTTCCCTCTATAAGTCATGTTGGCTTTCTTATTTCCTCTAACCGATTCTCATGCCCCTTTTAAGCAGATAACTTATATCCAGCCCCACCCCCCCACCCCCCTCCCCGACACAGATGCACAGAGCTTCCCTGAAAGTGCTTCCATCAGCTTGAAACTAAAAATGCACGTTTAACCTATAAGCATTCAAAATGGATGTTTAAGAAATGCTAAAGATTTTACAGATGTTTGAATAAAACTGTATCATGTTTATGATTTTTTTGGCGATGATCTTTTTTTGTCATTTCCTAAATATATCTTTAAATGAATACCCATTAAATGAATTAAATGTCAAGCACCAAAGCAAGCTTTCTGAAAATTCAGTACAGAAGGAATGCATTTTGTTTATCTCTGGCTTTTTAGAAAATGTGTAAGACTGCAATAAAAGGTATGATTATGTTGCCCGTTTTTTGTGCAATGTAGCATTTCAAAGGAAATTCTTTATGAAATTAAAACAATGCTGCTGAGTTCTGTATACAGAGAACACGTGCCATCTTTGACTTTGCAATATCGAAGCCTTTAAAATTCCACAATGCGATTTTATTCAATTATTCCAAATCTGAGAATTTTATCAACCAATTAAACTTGTCAGCCAATTACAGCTGTTTAGCATTTACAGTCAACATTATGCAAACACATAAAAAGGATTTCCCACAGTACTGTATAGACATGAATCTACAAGACTTGAAATATACACTGTGGAAAAAGGTTTCCACTCACTGATTGCCTAATTTAACATTCGAATGATACACTGAAATTAAACACAGCCAGAGGCTTATGGAACTGCTGTTATGCAAGCAGTTTAAAATATCTTGCTTTCCTGCCCCCCCCCCCCCATTTTATTTTAAAGTGAACATTACATCCCTCAGTCTTCATACGTTCACCTTTCATCTATTCATTCTCAAGAACATGCCGGCATCCTATTAAGACAAAAGGAATATATTCACTGTCTTTTGAAACTGAGGACCTGTGAATAAGATGGCATTATTAATTTGTCAGAGTAATAAAGTTAAGCATATTTGAAGAGACATTTAAAACTGAGCCAGTCTTATATCGAATGATTATTTTCTATGAATCACAGAAATATTGAATATATTTTGATATGCTGGTGTCATTATGGGTATAGTGCGTAACTGTGGGCTCTAAACATTACTGTGATTTATCATCAATAATCAAAATCGGTCATTGTAAGTCAGATCACAGTGCTCGGAGTTCTGTGTGTGTGTGTGTGTGTGTGTGTGTGTGAGCACCGAACATCCCCACAATGCCATAAAAACCTTTTCAGTCCCCATAAGGGGAAGCTCAATTTTATAAAAATCGGTGACTGCAATCAAAAAAATATAAAAATGTCTTGTATTTTATTTGGCTACTTATGTTTAAGGTTAGGGAGGGGTAGGGGTTAAGGTCTTCATCGTTGGGATTTTTCCCATAGAAATGACTGGGCAGTCCCCACAAAGATATGAATACAAACGTGCGTGTGTGTCTGTGTGTGTGTGTATGTTTGTGTGTGATACGTCTGTAACCATGAGACTAAACGAGTGGTCTGATGTGTTTGTCTTTGTCAGCGAAAGTGTGTGTCATCTTGTCTTGTCCTTGTTTTACTCCGGTTTGCTCCTTAAATTCATCTGGATGGAATTGGGTTAACAGCGACCTTCCTGGATTATCGAAGAAGGGTTTCACATCTTTCGCCTTCGTTTCAACCGGCTGTGATCGCTGTTTGCTCCTGGTCCTTAAGAGAGATCTTCCCTGTTGCTGGCTTGGAACAGACTCTGTGACACAGTCACCGATCCCATTTCTGGAGGCAGATCCGCATGCACCGGCATCCCTGTCCCCCCCCCCACCCCCACCGCCATGGGCGGGGCCTCTTGGTCTCGCGCTGCATTTCAAACTCATAACGTCTGAGGAGGAAATTGTTGCTGATGCTGAGTAGCAGTAGGGAGGACATTAATGTTGTTCCACAAAGGCGTGTAAGAGATGAATAAACAAAGGAACACCTGCCACCGTGACCTNGGGGGGGGGATTATAATTGCGAGCGTGTGTTCTAAGGAATGGGGGGGTGGGACTCTGCAGTGATCAGGTGGCGGTGGGGAGGGTGTGAGCGAAGGAGGAGAGGGAACAGGAGGCCAACCTGTCATGGCTGGTCGGAGAACAAAGCGTAGCGTTTAGCGGGGGAACAGGGATCATCGAGATCTCCCCCCAACATCAAGCGGGGTCTCCCAGGGAATCCGGCAGGGTGACGTGAATGCTGACTGGCTGGCCATAGACACCATGACCTTTCGGAGTCGGCCTCACATTCTGTACTTGGGCTCGCATGGTGACACTCGACACGACGCGTGACAGGTCAGCCGGCCCGTCGGTGGACGTCTGAACGATTGCTGTCACACCAGACGGCCGAGAATAAAAGGCACAGCTTTGCATTAACCTTTGCAGTATAGAAAATATAAATACTTCTTTTTCCAGGTGCTTTGGACTTTTCAGCAATGCCATTGTGATATCCTTTGAGACACAAATACAGGTGAGAGTGAAGGGTCAGGTCATTTATTCTACCCCCCGCCCCCCCGGAGAATTTGGGAGTTACAGTAAGGGCTTTAATCAAGGGCTCAACATCATCAACTGGTGGGCCCTGGGATTCAAACCGGCAACCTCCCGATCACAGGCACGGAGCCCTGGCTGTTCAGCCACACTGCCCCCCTCACGCCACAGCCGCCGTCCCCTTTACATCATGATCTCATGAAGCGTGTAAAACCAGCACATCAGTAGACAAGGTTCAGCTTCAACTTCTGGGCACAATGTCAAACCGTTCAATTCTGCATTTAGGGAGGACAAACTTTACCAATGATCCTTGGCTTTACCCCAGTGAGTACAATGACTCCTCATTGAAAGCTGTAAGTAAGAAAAACGAAGCCATTTCGTAAAATTAGTTCAATAAGAGGGAGATTTTGGCTGGGAAATGCTGCCACACGGGCCGCCGTCGGGAATAGCCACCATGCCAATTATACAGTAGGGCTCGCACGTTTGGCTCCTTTAATGCAGATTATTTGTCTGAGGAATATTACTTAAAGACTAATCCATTCTGAATGAAGCCTTTCAAAGGGAAAGATGTGCGACGTTGTTTTCCATCAGCCCTAACTTGTAGGCTTAGGCTTTTGGTGCTACTGCAAATACTTTAACAAGCATATGAGACGGCCATATTGCTAGGGAGTAAAATTGTTTTAAAATAAATGCAGTGACAGCAGCAATACTCTCGTTAACCTGAGTATTAATCTCGGAGTGACTGTAATGGTCAAATGGCATTTTGTACTAGAATATCTGCAAAGAAAATTACGTGAAGCATTGAACCAAGGACTTCATTTTCAATTAAATGCAGACCGTGTATTTTAATGTTAGACTATCCATCGATTCGATTATAGAACACGTACATTAAGGACGCAAACATATCATTAAGGGATCTCTAAACACTAGATTACTTGTACAACTTGCAAATTGGGTGGAATAGGATGGAGAATTAGGCAATTGGTTTGGTTGGATGATTAAAATTTACTATAGATCTTTGTGTTGGTCTGACTGGATCATTACATTTCGCTGCTTCGCCGCTGATGTTTGTTTCACACTACAGTGAAAAGATGACAGTAATGGTCTCTATATGGATGAGCACAAATACCTGTCCCTGAATTAAGGTCTTTTTTCCCTTTTTGATTAAATCTTATACATTGTCCAAATCAATGTATTAGATTTCATATTTTCGTCTGCTTTGGCGTATATCAGTCATAAATCCTCATATATGAAACCGCAGACAGCCTTTTCAGAGTGCAATCATACAGCTCCAATTATTCATTTAAAAATGCACTCAGCATTAAATAGAACAATCTGGCTATTTGTATCTTAATGGGAAAAAAAAGATTAATGTTTTCCTATATTTGGGTATTAGAAGAACTTACATTCTAAATTATGCTTTCCAAGCACAGCCTGCCCCAAATACATAAGAATAAGCGTGCAAACTTCTCAGAAAGAGCTGTGGCATGCACACATCACAAGTTCTTAATAAGACTTCACCTGTGAGACACCCCACCGAAGAGGACAGCACCAGCAGTTTCCATAGCAACATCATCTTCAATTTCTGGGGTCAAAGTAGGCTTCACGTCCAATCAAGAGAGTCTGATATCCTTTTAGTAGCTTCCCAGGTCTTTATTCTGAATATGAAAAGAAGAAGAAATAAAGAGAATACATTACAAACACAAAGGCCCACATTCAGAGCAGGTATAATGTACAGAGCATGGCAATACAAAAAGTACTGGATTTCAATTAGAACTTTTTAGAATTAGAATTAGAATTTAGTGATCAGTGGTCATTGTCAACACACCACAGCACACAGTGCGCAAAAACGAAATGTGTCCTCTGCATTTAACCCATATGTGACTTTCGTGACATAGCAGTGGGCAGCTAATTCAGCACCCGGGGAGTAGTGCTTGGGGGCGGTACCTTGCTCAGGGTACCTCAGTGGTGCCTTGCTGGTCGAGGATTCGAACCTGCAATCTTTCAATTACAAGTGCACTTCCTTAAATTAAATATGTATTACACCACATGTGTTATGCCATTAATAACAATATTAGCAGTAAAACAATATTATATAAAATAACTGAAATTAAAAAGGCTTCAATTTTTATACTTAAAATAGTGTTAACATTTTTTATTGTGTGACATATTTATGAAGGTAAATGACAAAAGTGGCATAATGAAATCCAGGCATCTTCCAGCTGCTTATGCAGCAGGCTGTGGGTTTATCCTGTAGCCGGTAGCAGGCAGCACTGGGCATGAAGCAGGGACGGGAGACCCCGCGCCTGGGAATGCCCACACACAAGACCGACGGCTGCAGAAGTACCAGTGCGCCGAACCGCACAGCCGCGAGAGGTAGCGGGAGTAGTGCAGTCAGCGCATCGAGAGAGCACGCAAACTCCACACGCACAGCGCAGGCAGGATTTGAACCCCAAACACTGGAGGTGTGAGGTAAACAGCATTACTCACTGTGGCACAGAGCCCACCCTGATTTTCCTGGAGCGGTAAAGCGGCAACGCAGTTTGGCTCTAATGGTGACCCTTCGGGCTCCTACTCAGACCAGAATCACTAAACCACCGCTGTTTTCTGTTAAGGACAACAGAGTATCTTGGCACGTACAAGTGTCAATGTCCTTTGTATGATTCTAGTAATAATTCCTAATGTAGTTCACAATATCAGTGTGTGCTTTGAACAGACATAGCCTAAAGACTGGTTCAAAAGCACATCACAGTCGTTTGAAAGTCATGCACACCTATGATTTTTTACAAAGACTGAAAGAGCATAGAAAAATCACTTGACCATGTACCAAAAAAAAAAAAAAATTTAAAAATTTAAAAATCCTTGCATGGTTGTCAAGGCCTATAGGTTTCCAAAAAACACTAAATAGGGTTGCGTCTAAAAACAAAATACTGGTAAAGAACTCTATTTTTATATATTTTAATCTCTTTATTGGTGCAGAAAGACATTTGCTCTCAAACACAGTGAAGGTGCATTTAATAGAATGATATTTATATATATTTTTTGGACAAAATTCCATCCATCCATCCATCCATCTTCTGCTTATCCAGTGTAGGACCACAGAGAGCTTGGAGCTGATTCCGCACAGCACAGGACACGAGGCAGGAAACATCCTTGACGGGATGCCAGGACATCGCAAAGCTTTCGACAGAATTGTCCCATTAGTTCTGAAAATTGACTAACACTGAGAAAATACTTGAGAAATCAAGCTATTTTACAGCATTTTTCGTGTGACGGGGAAAAGCCTGTTACACACATAGCCTTTCCCAATAAATAGTTCTGGTAATCATTATCTGCACGCCAGATAAATGAACATTCCATATTTGAAGCCCTGTTTCAGCAGTGGAATAACCCAGCGCACAGCAGCTCGAGTCCCATGACAACAGAGCTTCCACTGTGTCAGAGTCTCCTGCGTGTCACCCCTCAGCGGAAGTCCCAGGGGGGGCGAGCCCACCGCAGAATCATCCCCCCCACCCCCCCGTGCTCAAATGCTGCCTTTGTGTCCAAGGGACAGTAATTCTCTGTGTGCTGCAGGCCTGGGACAGAAAGGCGCAAGGAAAAGGATGAAGGAAAAAAAAAAAAGGGAAAATCGATAGCATCTTGAGATGCAGGGTCCATCTTCAGTGCATTTATAGCAGCGGGTTAGCATGAGCCTCTGAAGGCCGACGATGAGCATTAATGCAGATTCCATGCAGATAAAAAAAAAATAGTGAATGGCAAAGTGAATGGTAGCCTCATAACTTATCTCTACATTTGCTTTTCCTTTATTCATCTGCTTGATTCAGTACACAGAACAGATATTTTGCATATAGAACGCAACATCATATAATATTTCTACAAAATACATAGTGACAATCGTTGTAAATGCTTCTCTGCTATATATGTAGACCATTACAATCAGTGACATTAAAGTACATTATTTTATAGATACTCTGATATACTTAGTATGTACCCTATTCTAAAAAAAATCAACCTACAAAAAATGCTTACCCTTTTGCACTAGTGATTTGACTATCAGGGAGGAAAAAAACGATTTTTTTCCCCCCAAGCAGCAGGTGTGACGACCTATTTGAATGCCATGAATGCTATAAATTCAGACCCAGTGTTGAGCGCATCACCACTATTAATTCCCATGTATATGTGTAGTAGCTTTGCCCCATCTGCAGTTTCGCCACTCTGCGTATCTTTTGTTCGTTGCTGCTGACACAATGCTACCCAGCAGAACGCCATGGATTCCGCATGCCTCCGCATGTATAAATTCTGTAATGATTTTCCTTCCACTATTCCTGGTTAAAATGTGCATACTGACAGTATGATTCAGCATATTGTACACAAAAGAGACTCACTCACTACAGCTAACCGACTCGCGGAGTCAAATGTACCACTTCAGTTCTGTACCCAATAAAAAGGAAAATCTGTTTCTGGCATCATACTGTATGTGATGTGAGATCGTACTTTTAAAAGTGCAAGCAAAAGATATTTTATATTTTCGTATGAGCAATTATCAGTAAATCATGTTTTAAAATGAGTAGGCGTGGATTTATATGTATTATAATAGATTGCTAATGAACATTATTCAGTTCAATTCAATTAAATTCAATAAAAAAAAACTTAGCAATTAAGACACACAGGGCAGTTGAACAAGGACGCAGTGACGTAAAGTGCAACAGTGATTACAGTGTTTAGAAGGTTCTGTGCAAAATTGCAGACAATCAGGTAGATAGGAACTGAGTAAATATGTAAAAGGGAGGGATTGTTAGTGGGTATGGGGCGGGGGGCGAATGCAGATAGAATGATGGGTTCCAGTGCAGGGAGGCGGAGGGATGGAAGGGAAGTCTGTGAGTTGAGCGGCTCTGGGAACAAAGGTGGTTCTCCTCCTCTGTGCTGTCGTCCTGAGTGGAGTCACTCAAACTCCAGGAACAGACCATGGGAGGGGTCCTGCTGCCGGGACAGCGGAGCCGTCGTCCTGAGGGGAGTCACTCAAACTCCATGAACAGACCATGGGAGGGGTCCTGCAGAATCCTGCACGCTGCTCTTAGAGTTTGCTGCTCCCTCAGGGATGAAAGTGCTCTGACCGGGAGTCCGATGATCTTAGAGCAGACTTTCCCTATGTTGTGCAGGCGGGTCCTGTGCTGCAGACTTGTGGAGTGATACCAGCAGACGATGGAAAAACAGAGGACACTCAATGAAGGAGTAGTCATGAGGTGTTCATTGTTGGACTCAATGCCTCATTATGCTGTAAATCTTTCAAAATACCTGAACTGAATCATTCATGACTTGAGAGTCACGAGACTCATGTCCTTCTTCCATATGCTGGTTAAGTGGAGAATCTGCTCTCACTGGTGAGCTAAAACTAGGAATGACATTTGGGGCAGCGTGTCGAGTCGGTGTCCAGCCCAGCCTCCATGCGGCTGTGACTCGCATGCTCTCCCTGTGTGCGGCTGT